ATTACAGTTTAAGGCCAGGTGCCAGCACTGAATTCCTACCTACAAGGGGATTTCAAGGCACTACCTTTACTGATGTTTGCATTTCAAAAAGAAGGTTGGAAGGCCATTAAGTAAGACCTTTCTGGTTAAGATGCTGCCCAAGAGGCTTAATTAGGTCTTTCAAAAATTTACATACATTTCAATGCATCCAAGAAAGAATTTAAAAGTTTTTTAAAGGAAATGTTCCAATAAAAAGGAAGTGTAAGAGTCATTTTTTTATTAGACAATAAAAGAAACAGCAATTTTTTCCATAGTCTCACAAAAAGTTTCTGGACAAACATGAAGAACATCTTTAAATGCTACCAAACACACGTCTAGACTGGCTTCATTTGTTTTCACAACACATTCTTGTTTGTTAGTTTTCCTAATTTAATCTACCAGTTAGGTCTCATTTCATTGGAGATGCCTGCACAATTTTTTGATTTTATGAATCAGCACAGGGACTTTAAAGAACACCAAGTAAAACTATGTATAACCTAGGAATTCTGTGGAGAAACAGTAATGAGGGAACACTTGTTCAAGCAGAAAATAAAGCATATATTTACAAATTAACTGTCGCTACATGCAATTATTTTATGGCTAAAATTTAAGGCAAATAATTCCAAATTTTGCTCAGCATGTATGAAAACTTCATGCACTGCTGGTATCATCATGAAACAGTATAAAAAGTCTAGAAAATTGTTGGTAAGTTTTGAACAGATTTACCCATACACTTATTATATTACTCAGAAATTATACTCCCAAGTATTATTGGCCCAAGATTACTGAGAACATGTTCACTAAGAGACCTGAATTTGTTCAATTCACCTTTATTAATAAAATCCTCAACCCCCAAATAACCCAAATATCCATTCAAAAAGAGTTTACATCAAATGTAAAAAAAACAACAACATTGTACAAACATTATTTATACAAACAGTAAACTGGGCAAATGAAGACACAACAGAATTTGTACTTTATGGTTCTGTGTATATGAAGTTTAAGCTCAGGCAAAACTAAACTCTCATGGCAGAAATTATGCCACTGATAAGAGAAACTGACTGCAAAGTCGTACAGGAAACTTTAAGGGTTGAATAAATGATATAAATATTCCATTACCTAAATTTGGATGGTTGTCACTCAGTTATGAGCATTTGTTAAAACTCATCCACCTGGAAATTTAGGGTTGGTTCATGATATCTCTTGAAGATTATACTTGACTTTTTTCTTTAAGTAACCTAACATGAAATCAAGTAGTAATTAAATTATTAAAAGTATTAGAATTATTTCTCAAATTAAAGCATCAGAAACAGATCTATGCACATACAGAAAATAACAGAGAAAACTTACATGGTTGGGAAGCTTATTGCCTGGTTCAATGGTTAATGAATGAATATCTATTTAAATATATTAATGATGGTTTTCTAAATTAGCCTACCACTAAGATATTTTAAATAGAGCAATTATTTTCATATTAATAATGACTAATAGGCCTTTACCACTGCCAACCTGAAATTATTTACTCTTCAGAGTATCCCAGAGAGGCAGATTTGGTTATTGCTTTATTTATTATTTTTATTTATTAGTAGTAGTTAAATGTGAGAAAACAGGATCAGTAAATTGTTCAGGGTCAAGCCTAGCAAGTAGCACAGAAGGAAGTCAGATACAAACTGCATCTAGAGGCCATGCCCCCTGCCCCACTGAATATATTTTAAATGTTGTCATTTTAAAATATAGTAAGTATATATTAGAAAATATAAGAATATTTGCTATCATACTTGCTTTAATAATATACTTGATTAAAAAAAACTTGCTAAAACAGATTTTATGTGTATATGTGGACTAATTTCTTTTCTGGCTTATATGTACACCTCAGAAATGCATGTAAGTGTTTCTCTGATGGACATATATATAAGTATACAAAGGACAGTTATTTGTTATACCTAAAACCATAAGTTTCCACTCATGTGTCCATCAAAAATGTAACAAATTACACAGGGCAATTCAAAAACAAAAAACTGAATGTCACTGATATTGTATTAAGAGGAAAAAAAGCTAGAAATAATACTTTGTATTTTTATTTATTTGAATTTTAAGAAAAAGAAATTGAATTATGGTGATGAAGGTCAGAGCAGAGGTTATTTTGAGGCATGTTTAAGAAGAGTTTTTTAAATATGTATTGTGTCAGGTGGGTGGGTTCGATATTTATAAGGGAAGAACACTTAGTAAGTTATATAATGCCTAATCACTGAACCTAATATGATATTGCATGTTAACTGTAATTGAAAAATTAAAAATAATTAAAAAGTTAAAAAAAGTGAAAATACAACCAACATATTGGAAGAATATACCTCAAATATCTGATAATATATACAGCCTGTACAAGGAACACTTGTAACTCAACAACAATAAACACAAACTACCCAATTAAATATTAAGAGCTGAAATAAACATTTCTCCAAAAAGATACCCAAATGGTCAACATCTTTGCACTAGTCATTAGGAAAATGCAAATTGAAACCACCATAAGATACCACTTAACCCCACTGGAATGGCAATAATAATTTAAAAAAAAAA